GGATAGGAGGGATCCGCTTGTGTTTTTGTTCAGTGCTGGATTTGCAGAGGGAGAAAAGGGAGAAAGGGATTTGAGGACTGTTTACTTTGAGTCATTTTGCTACTGGGAAGCCACCAAATGTGGCCTAAAAGTATCGGGCAGAGTGACAGAGCTACTCCTGCCGCCAGCTTGGGTGGAAGCAGCCCAGATGGAGCCGGCCCTCTCTTGCCCTGGAACCATAGCAGAAAAAGGCTGCTTGCACCTCCGCCCCCACTCCAGACAGACCCTCACCCTTATTTGTCCCCACACCCAGTCCTCCGCACCAGACCAGCAGGATTTAACCAAGTGGGAGACATTTTCATAAACTTTACACAGTTTCGCTCCCTGCAATAACATAAAAATAACTTTAGGAAATACTGCCTTAAACAAAATATATCAGTTTGTTTATACAGCAAGCACTTATTACTAACCAGCCTATTGTGTATTATTAAAAAAAATTCAGTGATGAAAATAGTAAGGTCGACTTTGTTTAGGACCTTCGCAGCAGATGTAGGGACAGTGCAATGAGATTTACAGCAGGGAGACAGGTTGGGCTTGACTCCAAATATAGCATGGGCAAGGGGGAACTAGAACCAAAGAGCAGAGTAGGGTCAGGAATGAGGGGATTTCTGGCTAAAGCCGACCTGACATGGTGTTCAGGCATCACCTTGGGGATGGGGGAGTATAAGAAACTCTATCAGATATTGAGAGTGGGGCTCCTGGTTAAATTGACTTAGTGAAAGTCTTGCCAAAACTGGATTTTGCAAGGGCTAGCACAGATGGGCCTAGGAGAAGCTTCAGGAACCTACTAAAGTTTGATCAAGCAAAGAATCCTTGTCAGTACCAGGTGCTATGATAGGCTCTTGGGAAAGAGTGGTAAAGGGAGATATCAAGTACAAAGAATTGCTAACTTATTGCATGATTTTCAGAACTAGGAATCCTACAACAATGTTGTTGTTGTTTTTAATTGTATTTAATTGTATTTTTAAAAATGTGTGTATCTATTTTCCCACATCAACATTTATTAGAAAAAGATTTTCTCAGGGATTCAGGGGAGGTATTTCCTTCAAGTTTTTAAGATGCCAGGTGCCAGAATATAGTCTTTATTTACTCAGAAATAAAGACTATAGGATTATTTTAAAGCCCAAGTACATACCTTCAATTGATATTAATGGAAGACCATGTTCCAAAAAAAGTAAATAAATAAAACACACATATCTTATTCTGAAGCCCAGGCTAATGACTGACTTACTCTTCCCTATCTTCCTTATCCTTCCTTGCCAAACACACACACACACACACACACACACACACACACACACACACCATATGCACACACACCACAGAGTCCTTCTCATGAAATAATGAGGAGAACCCTAGTACAACTGGGAAAGTGTCATGATTTTGGGCCAGTGTAGAATAGACCCTCAATTTTTTTCATGACACCCTCATTCTACAAAATATGATGACATGTAAATGACACAGAGTGATCTATGACAAAAATGCATTGGTTAAAATAGTTCTGCGTATAATGTAAACTCCAGGATACAGTCAGGATTCAAAAATAAGCATAAAGTCTCTGATCCTTTTCAAAAGAGATGAGAAACCAAAACACACATTTATATTTGTTCAAGTTCATTCCTATTTGGATCATTTAATCTAGTTTCTTAGGACTGGAGAGACGAAGTGAATCCTTGGAGACAATGACACTCAGCAAGAACAGGAAATGACAGTTGTCTTCCTGCCAGGGGTGTGAAAACAGCAGAACTGTTCACATACACACAGAGGTCCCTAGTTTTTTGTATTATAGCATATTGCAGCAGTTGGCTCAATCAGATAAAGTTAAATTATATTTTAACTAGAAGCCCGGTGCACAAATTTGTGCACGAGTGGGGTCCCTCAGCCTGGTCAGTGATTGGGGCAATTGGGGCAATTGGGGCCAGCTGGTGGGGAAGGGGAGGTGAAAGACTGTGGAAAGTTGGCTGTGGGAGCACACTGACCACCAGTGGGCAGCATTGAGCATCTTCCCCCTGGTGTGTCATAGCAACCGATCGTTCAGGTGACCAGTCTTAATGGTTGCTTAAGCTTTTATATATATAGATTACCCTTTTTAAAAAGGCAGGCAATTGCGATTCATTTTAGAGAAATTTTTATTTAGTAAAAATGTTTTAAATGAAAAGCAATGTTTTAAGAAACCTTGAAAAAATTGGGGTCTGAAGATTCCCTGTTCCCAGTGATTATACGTTAACCAGAATAGTTGCCATAGGTATCATGTATTTGATGAATGCCCACTCTGTGTTTCATTTACAGTTTAGAGGCTTAATAGGTTTTGCTGCTTATTCCTCAAAACAACTTTGTAGGGCAGGTGTTATTATCTGCATGTCTCTGAGGATCAGAGAGTTTCCAAAATAACTTAGCTGACAAGTGGAAGAATTGGCATTTAAACTCATATGACTTTATCTTCGATGTAGGAAAATACACACTTTCCCTCCTCTACCAACTTGGCTTGAAAAACAAAATGTCAAACTTTACTGCCAGTTAATATACCTCTTCGTCTCTTTCTCCTTTCTCTTCCTTTGTTTTCCCTTTTACTCTCCCTTTTCCCCATCTTTGTTGTGTTTTCACTTGTATATGAGACCCTTACCATCCAAGCTGCCTGGATCAAATCATGATTTTGAAAAATTCTTTGTGGAGATGGTGAGCCTGTGAATGGGGAGGTCCAAGCCATCCAGGGGCTGCTCAGGGGTTACGTTCTTGCCTTGATCCTATGAGATGGGGTGGAGCCTCCCTTCCATACTTACAGAAAGCCTTTGGATTAGCTGAGCTTTCTCAACAGCTAAAGTTCTCAGCACAGACACACTTCTCTCTCCAGGCAGATCCATACTGCCCAGGGACAGAGCGCGCGCGCGCGCGCGCGCGCGCGCGCGCGCACACACACACACACACAAACACACACACACACACACACACACACAAAGTATTGGTCACTCCACAAAGACCTAATACATGATCCAAGGAAATATTTGTGAATTTCTTTATATATCTTTATTTTTTATTACTAGAATAATGGATGCTTTTTGCAAAAGATACCTAAATTATTACAGAATTATAAAAATTGAGAATAGTAATTCAATTTCTCTAATTCCTGTTAATGGTTTTAAAGGAATTCTAATTTGTGAATTAGTTCTTCAGATTAAGTGCTTGGGTTTTTTCCTCCTGCTTGTGCTTTGGTTTAGAACAATTGTGTAGCTAGAGCACTCAGAATTAAGAAGGTGAAAAGAATTGTGTTTTTTTTTTAATCATCCCATCTTTGTTTTGCATGTTCAAGGTATACATTTGAAAGACAGGCAGAGTAAACAAAAGAAAAGAAGGTTTCACTCCTCCAAAATGTAAATTAGTTCATTAGTTAAAAAAAACAAAACATTCCATATTATAGATTGGAATGTTATTACTAATATCTTTATTGAGTAGTTTATTGACTATAGGTTACACTGTCCTTTGTGTTGGTTTTGATTTAATTTTTAGCTAGTAAATATTGCTAATATTGCCTATGTATATAAATATGGATGAAGGAATTAAAATATATAAATTCTATTAAAAATGAGAGTTTGAGCTAGTTAAGATTTGCATTCTGGCATTCGTATTTACATCTGAGGAGGCTTAGCCTGAGGCATTTTGTTACAGCCCTTACTCCCTCTGAGCATACAGTCTTGTGTGTGGATTGGATTAGCATGCTCTTGTATACATATTCTTCTTGTAGTTCTCAGGCTGCTGACTTTTTTTTTTTTAATGAGCAACCATTTATAGCAACCATCATAAAGTAGAGATAACCAGTGTTAATATTTGGTATGTAATCTTTCAGACATCTTCCGGTGTATATGTCAGATCAAGTAACTGGCCGACCCTAGTGTTATGAGTCTAACTCTGGAATTAAACTGTGTAGATTCAAATCCTGGTTCTAACATTACCTATGTCACCTTGGTTAAGGTGCAGTCCTTCTGGGAAGCTCCATACTTATATCCATGAAATTAAATAATGATAGTGCTTATCTCATTGGGAAAGGAGTATGAATTAATGAGAAAATAAGTATAAAGTGCTTGGCATAGAATAAGCACCCAATAAATGTTAGTATTCAAATGTTAGTACTCAAGAAATAGGATCATACTTCTAATTCTGTATTATGCTAAATTATTTTTTGAACAATCACAAACACACATCTGCCTCATTCTTTTTATGGTTGCATTATAATTACATTAGGTGATCTGCTGTAATTTCCCAAACATGTGGAAAGGATCATAATGTGGGTCACAGAGCCATTTGTTTTGCCCATTCTTGGAAGAGTACTGGGTTCTGACATCCAAGTTCAGAGACTCTTAAGAGCTTTAGCACCACACAGGTTTATCCAAATAAGAATGTAACGTTTTTTAGAGAAATATGTAAGAATCTTCCTACTATCAGACAATGTTAAGCTGCTGAACATTTAGGGTGCTCTCTACTGGATAGACTTCTGGGTTTGTAAACTTATGAAATTTCATATTATGGTTATCCTCATTTTCTCAAATACCATTGTTGACTTGTTTTCTGACTTGATAAGTGAATACTGAATATTCACTGACTTTAATCTCAGTATTTCCCTGACCTTAGTCTCTGAACATTCACAAGACTGGCTTAATTAGAAAAGGGATAAGTGCCATAATTCTGCCATAACCTACAATAATGCAGCAGTGGGGATCCTGGAGAACCATTATTATTCAAATGATCATGGCTTCTTGAATAAAGTGGATGATTAAGTATACCTCTCATAGTAAGAGAGATGATTAGCAGTGGGAGACACATTTGAACTTGCTCAGAGAGCTGCCTTTGTCTCCAGGAGGGCTGGCACTCAGTCATCACTAGAACAGGTCTTCCTTTCATCCCAGCCTCTTTCCTTTTTCATGCTTGCAGTGTTTGAATAGCTTTCTATTGCCTGTTAATCCCCACAGGAATGTGGCTTTGGCTATGGGGAGGATGCTCAGTGTGTGACTTGCCGGCTGCACAGGTTCAAGGAGGACTGGGGCTTTCAGAAATGCAAGCCGTGCCTGGACTGTGCGGTGGTGAACCGCTTCCAGAAGGCAAACTGTTCTGTCACCAGTGATGCTGTCTGCGGGGACTGCTTGCCAGGGTAGGTTGGATGATTTTTTTCCCTTGTAATTATTCTATTGTTCTTAAACAGGCATTTTTTGTTTCCTTTTCCAAATGTGAATGCACACTGATATTAACCTGAACACATTTGTTAGGTGTACATGAGTTTGTATCTCAACAGTAACCACTAGATTCTTGGTGCCGATGCCATGGACTGTGACAGGTGCTTGTTATAAATAAAATGAGTAAATATACTAAGAAAGGAATAATGTCACAGAATTCTAAAAAGTTTCTATAATAAAAGCCTAATATGCTAATTGTCTGACCATTTGACTGTTCTACCAGTCACTATGACACTATGCTGTGCATTGACCACCAGAGGGCAGACGCTCCAACCAGTAGGTTAGCTCGTTGCTGGGGTCCGGCTAATCGGGACTGGGTGAGATGGGTCAGACATGCCCTGGAGCTCTCCTACAGTCCCTCATGGCCCTAGTTGTGCACCCGTGGGGTCCCTTGGCCTGGCCTATATCCTCTCACAACCCAGGACCCCTCAGGGGATGTCAGAGAGCCAGTTTCGGCCCAATCACCACAGGCCAGGCCAAGGGACCCCACTGGTGTACAAATCGATGCACAGACCTCTAGTATCCTATATGATAAAAGGCTAATATAAAAATAGACTGAATGGTGGAACAACTGAACAACCAAACAACCAGTTGCTATGATGTGTGCTGACCACCAGGGGGTGCAAATGTAACATGGTGGGCATCAGCAGCAAGCAGCAGAGCATGGAACATGGTGGGTGTCGGCTGAGGCTGTTGGTGGAGCAGGTGAGCGCCAGACCAATGCAGGGCTCCAGGTCACTGTCATCAGGGTGAGCCTCTGGTGGTTATTGAAAATTCTTTGCTCCCACGTGCATGATCCCACCTGACACTCGCACCCGCTGCCAGCCCTGGAGCCGCCTTTCACACCCGCTGCCAGCGCTTGGCACTGGTCCCAATCACTTGGCGCCTTCATGGGGTGCGAGGGGCAGCTGCCAGCCCCAATCGCCCCTGAGGGCTTCTCCACCTCCCCCTGCTCCTGAGAGGTGATTGGGGCAGCAATACTGGCGCCAGCCCCAATAGCTCCGCGCCATCAGATGCGAGCAGGGCTGACAGCATGTGGGAGTGGCATCAGCAGGAGCAGGGCTGCCAGCAGACAGGGTATGGGGGCCATGGTGGGAGAGGCCAAGTGGGGGCACGGAGGATGGGCCAAGACCTGCCCCTGTGTCCACTGCAGCCTCACAGCCCACTGTTCCTTTCAAGGTGCATGAATTCATGCCCTGGGCCCCTAGTGCCAATAATAAAGAAAACATGAACAAATGTACCAAAGAATGAACAGGCAATTCACAAAAGAGGAAACATATATTCATCCTCATTGGGGATCCAAGAAATGCAAAACATGACCATGCACTCATTTCAATGGATACAGTGGAACTTGGTTTCTCCAACTTAATTCCTTCTGGAAGGCTGTTAGAGTAGCAATTTGTTCAAAACCAACTTGTTCTTTCCCCTGAGAAATAATGTAAATTGAATTAATCCATTCCAGACCCACAAATGATTTTCTGTTTTAACCTTTATACTACTATATACAGTACATGTCTAATGTGCTGTTTAATTTGTAAATAAATATTTCTTAAATTTTTCAAACCACCTTTCCCTCACCCCCAACTAAGAATTTAAAAAATATATATTTTATTGATTTTTTAAAGGAAGGGAGAGAGATAGTTAGAAACAGTGATGAGAGAGAAACATCATTCAGTTGCCTCCTGCACACCCCCTACTGAGGATGTGCCTGCAACCAAGGTACATGCCCCTGACTGGAATCGAACCTGGGGCCTTTCAGTCCACAGGCTGACGCTCTATCTACTGAGCCAAACCAGTTTAGGCCCAACTAAGAATTTTTAATCTATCACTGCCTCCGAAATTCTATCACTGGCTCACCACTTTTCCTTTATCCATATCAACAATAGTTTTTCTACCTATTCAATTGCCTATGATTGCTGTTTTGTGAGCACTTTCACACCCTTAGCAACATTAGCACTCTTTTTATTTTTTAATGTATTTTTTTTATTGATTTCAGGGAGGAAGGGAGAGGGAGATAGAAACATCAGTGATGAGAGAGAATTATTCATGGGCTGCCTCCTGCACGCCCCCCACTGGGGATCGAGCCCACAACCTGGGCATGTGCCCTTGACCGGAATTGGACCCTTCAGTCCTCAAGCCGATGCTCTATCCACTGAACCAAACCAGCTAGGGCAACATTAGCACTCTTGATGGCCTCTTCAAGTTTTAAAAGTGTCAGCAACTAAAGCATTCTTCCTTTGTTTGTCCCTGAGAGATGCTTTTTGTCATTCTGAGGTATCAGCATGAAAGGGGTTTCAAGTCCAAAATGGAAGTTTGGTCTACAACTGAGACATTTTTTTCTGTGAACAACTTAGTTGAGAATCAAACTGTTCTAAGTGGGAGATGTTTGAGAACCAATGTTTGACTGTATTTGTCCAGCAGCCATGAAGCATTGCTTTAGATAAAGCTGTTACCAGTAGAAGTGGCATTCTTGGGGTGCCTCAAGGAAAATAATTTTTTGAGGCCCCCAAAGGAGGATGGGGTTTGTGTAAAGCTTTGTTGATGATGTGAAATTAAGGGGTTCCCATCCAAAGTCCCATCTCCGTACCTCTCACCATGGAAGAAGTCCAATTTTGTATTCAACAGGGCCAGAATTAAGGCCACTATCCAGAATTTCTATTTGACATTGAAGTCCAGTCCAGTTCAGCATCTGGGTAGCTTAGCCTGTGTTTCTAGCTGCAGTCCATTGTGTGTGGGGTCTGCATGGCCATGGGCCATGCTGCTGCTTAAGGTCACATGGCTATGAGAGAGAACAGGAAAGCACACTAGTGAGTATGGGCCATGGAGCTAGAGAACAAAGAGCAAAAGAGAACAAGAGAGTGGGAACTCTGGGGATTATGTATTCCCAAAATTTCATGGGCTTGCTTTGGGGTCCACCCCACTGTTCAAATGACTGTTCTCCAGGTTAGACTGACAGGCAAGTATTCCCTTCTCCCCTTCACCTTACCCCCTTCTTTGTTCATCCCTTCCAACAGTAGTTCCCTGGGGAGTGTGAAGCTGTAGGTTCCTGGTGAAGATGCCTATATGACCATGCTTATAATGTCTGGGCTCTCCTTTGCTCTCTTCCTATTATTATTAATAAACTAGCTAATTATATCCTAATAAGGTTTTTAAAAAATATAAACAGTAAATATTAAAGAAGTAATTATGCAAAGACAGAAGATGATTTCTGTGAGGGGGGGAGGGGAGAAAACCTAGAGTACTAAGGGGGATTAGGTCTGCCTCATGGAATGGATCGATAAGTTGCAGTAGTAGGCCAGATTACTGAAAAGGGGAGATCTGAGCAAAGATTTGAAGCAATTAACAGAGCAGATGTGTGGGGAAGAGCACTGTAGATACAGGGAACCGCTAGAGGCAGGCCCCCAAGGTGGACATGAAACTGGTATTTTTAAGAAGCTGCAAAGAGACCAGGGTATCTTCAGGAGGAAGAAAGAGTTGAGTAGGAAAAGAGAGGGTGGAAGGGAGAGGACACATATGAAGAGTGAAAACCTTAAATGTTGAAAATTCACCCAAGTCACGGAAGGAAAGGAGAACTAGACTGGGCCAGGTGGAGAGGCAAAGCCCAGGAGGAGGCATTTTAAGTTTTTAAGTGTTCCTGGGTGAGCACTGGGTAGCTGTGCCAGATAAAATAGGCAGTTGGGGGATAAACTCCATATAAATAGCGGGACTTAGGGAGGCATGGGTGATGATCTGTTAGGGAATGATAGGCATTACCCACCAAGTAAAAAGGAAGAGAGACAAAGCATAATATCAGAATACTATTGATGGGAGTAGAGTGCAGCCTTGTTACCAACCAAAGATGGAAGAGAGAAAACCCAGGATTCCTGGTGCTGTGGAAAACAGGCTTGTTGCAGAGATAAAACAATCAGTAACAACAACATTACAGGAGAAGCAAACATTAATTATTTCTAATGTGCCAGTCACTTGGTTAAGTACTTTACATGAGTGATGTACTATAATGTTTGCAGTGTCTTAAACATGAAGAAAGTGAGCCTTATCAAGGCTGAAGTTTATTCAGGCAAAATCACTTAGCCAGTATGTAGTGAAGCTTGGAGCCACATCCAGGAATCTAATGTAATAATCCATGCTCTAACTCACTGCAGAGGAAGGACTCCAGCTGGACTTGGCCAGAACATGCCCACAAAATTGGGATGCTTTTGATCAAATGGCACGATGCTAGCTCTGGGGCCCTTGTTGAAGCCAGAAGAGGAAAACATGTTTTGGACCTGAAAGGCAGGACTAGGAAATAGCCTGTGGCTCAAGCATGGCCTTATGCAAAGACTTAACACTGATACTGTTTAAAAAGTAATGGTCTATCACCAAAAGCATAAGCATCCAAATAAAAAAATACTTAATTAAATTTTAAATCTTTTGTGCTTCAATAGATACCATCAAGAAAATAAAAAGACAACCCACATAATTAGAGAAACTATTTGTAAATTATATATGTGATAATTTCTTACCTAGAATATATAAAGAACTCTTACAACTCAATAATAAAAATGCAAATAAGCAAATTAAAATATGGGCAAAGGATTTGGTTACACTTTCCTCCAAAGAAGATATGCAAATAGTCAATAAACACATGAAAAAATGCTCAACATTATTAGCAACCAGGAACATGCAAATTAAAACTGCACACTTCACACCCAATAGGATGGCTAGTACCAAAAATACAAACTATAACAAGTGTTGGTGAGGAAACAGAGAAATTAGAACCTTCATACACTGTTGAAGGGAATGTAAAATGGTGCAGCCATTTTGCAAAAGTTTGGTAGTTCCTTAATAAGTTAAACATAATTACCATGTGACCCAGCAGTTCTGCTCTTAGATATGTAACCAAGATAATTGAAAATACATCCATGAAAAAACATGCACA